ACACACCACTAGTAGGTGTGGTCCTGAGCTACAGTTGATCAATACACTGGAATGAGCACTTGTCTTCTTAGGCCATTGTACTGATCCTCCAGGATTAGAAAACTTCTTACATTTCTAAAATAATGAAAATATTTAATTATCATAAACTCCACCCACACACTCTGTTATGAATAATAATACACACATACAATACATTATTAATTAATAATTAATGTAATTATACTAATAATACACTCACCACTGATGTATCAGTAAATTCAAATACATATACATCATTACTGTATCTATTACCAGTCTCACCACCAAACAATATAGCAGTGGTATTAGTTATTGATGTTAAAGTGAACTGATCAATAGGAGGTGGTCTGTCTCCAGTGACAGTTGGTGAAGTCCATTCACCTAAAAATAATAAAAATAATATGAACACACACACACTGTGAATTAATCATAAATATTGGACGGATGGTTCTATCATGTAGCGGGATTTATTGATCAAAGTTTTATTCTGACAAGTTGACAATTTAAAATAACACGTCAAATTTTATAACCATCAAAAATCATACCATGTGTACCCAAAGGCACAAATTTCTTTTATTTATCAAATTAAAACTTGCCTACCAGGGAAATTTGTTTTTCATCAATTTTTTACTCCTCAATAAATCGGTTATGTAATTTTTTTAGAAAAAATATTTTGAGAATTTTTTTGCAAAAATCAGAATGCCTTCATCATTAAACTACATTTATAAACCTAATATCATATTATACTGACCAGTTTTTAATCTGTACATATGGACTTCATTGCAACTTTGAATATCATCATCTTCATTGTACTGGGCACCAGGTTGTGGTGGAGTATTATTAGAAGATGGTCCACGTCCACCGATTACTACAAGATAGTCCTCACCGTTCACTTTTATTGCTATCATGCCAGGTAAGGACGTCATCATAGGACCATGATGAGATGTAGTAGGAGAGAGTTCCTTCCAATTGAAGGTATCAACATTAAAACTGTATAAAATATTATATAATATTTATCAGTAACTATTATGTCTACCTGTATAAACTATTATGATAACAGCCTTCATGACTACAAAAGCCTCCAAAAAAGAATATTTCATTTCTAATGGCAGCAGCAGCATATGAACCAACACCAAGTGGAGGGTCACCAGTGGTAGGCTTTTGTACCCACTCACCAGTTGGTAGGTTACAGACCTCCACTACAGAACACATTGATTTCTTCTTCTCATTATTGTGTACTCCAGGGAGACCAGGCTGCCACCCACCCCACATGTACAAGTAGTCTCCTACCTGTACAGTAGAGTGACCGTACCTCTCCACTGGTTGATAGACTATAGATAACAAGAGGACACAGTAATATAGTGAATAGTTATAATAAGGAGAGGATACAGAGGAGTAAAGTAAGGAAGAGAATAAGAAAGAAAGAGATATAAAGAGAAGAGAATAAAGACACTCACTTTCTGAAGACATCTCCAAAACAACAGTGAGTAGCTCAACTCTAATTAAATGAATAAAAAGTAAAATTATAAAATTCTAAATCAAAAATCATACAGTGTCTTTTCTAATAAATTCCTATACCATTCTCAGCCTCTCCTCTTCAGTAAACTATTTATTATCAAAACTGTTTATGAACATGTACAACTACTACACTATAATGATTCACTGTTTAATTTATACTTATGTTCAAGGAGCACTGAATCACAGACCACACAAATTAAAGAAGGAAGATGTAAGATTAGAGAAAGTGCAGCTGTACATGTACATGAATGTAGAGGAGGAAAAGAACTTGTTAAAATGAATAACCAGTAAATAACAACTAACAAAGATACAAAACAACAACAACAACAACAACAATAATATAAAATATAAAATATAATACAAATATCAATTTGGGCTCTCAATGATTAGTGAGTCTATTGATGATGGAATGAGAATGGATTCGTTATCGTCTGCTGAAACCA